GAGGAGGTCTCTTCTATAACGATATTCTCCGGGTACGGCTGTTGTTGTAGTTCGAGATTTCTTTCCCTTCTATAGCTAAGTTCTATATAAGATTTAGCCATGTTGGTTTCTTTGTAATAGCGCAAAATTTCTTCGTTCAATATAATCTAGTTATGAGTTATTCTATGAGCCTGAACTGCCATGATCAGCAGTTCAGATTCTACGGGAAATACGGAAGGGTTAATATCAATATTTCTTTATGAAAAGGTTTCGACGAAAGAGGGGTTGGAAGAAATGGCATTTATTGAAAAGATGAGTTCAAGTTCATGGCTCGGATTTACAAAAATGGCAAGTATTGTAAAGTATACATTGTTTATTGTATAAAAAATCTTTGGTAGGAACAATGTTATGGATGAGGTCCAAGTAAAAAATTTAATCCGAGGACTTGCCTTTATGTGCCAGGGGGGGGGGGGGGGGGGGGGTTGGCTGGATTATTTGATTTCACGTTTTCTTCTTCTTTTTTTTTTTTCTTTTTTTTCACTTTTAGTTATTTGGTCTTGTATGAGCAAACCAAAGTCAATTTAATTTATGGGTATATTTGTCATTTCATCTTAATAAAATGGAATCTTTTGGAATCTTTCTTTAATTTGGTCTTGCACAAGTGAAATTAGTTTTGCATATAATCGCAGCCTTTTACCTATTGTTTTGGTACTTCAAAATTTCTTTTATTATAAATAAAAAGAAGCAATAGCTTAAAGTTTTAACTTCAAATTTCTTTTTAATGTTAAGCAATGTTTGGATTTGATTTGTTAGCATAATTAAAATAGTGTCCATTACTGTAACAGGGCCGTTCCTGAGATTTTTGGGGCTCTAGGCGAGATTTGAAGACGGCAAAAGAATGGGGCCCTTCTAAAACTAATATATAACTCATTTGTTTTCTAAAAAGGTGATAAATTCGATGTTAACTCATTTTTGTAAGGTATATAACAGTGACGAGACTAGAAAATTGTGATATGTAGAGGTTAATATTTGAGGGGGTTCGGGGGCAACATCCCCGATTATTTTAAAGGATAATTTGTATGAATAATATATATAAAAATAAATAACTAATATATTATAAATTTAATAATTAGGGGCCCCAAGATTAGAAGAATTATAGAAACAAGTAACAATTGTTGATTAATATTTATTTATGAATTAGGGTTCTCAATAATTATATATATAATATATTTTTTTGGATAAATGCTAATATATAAAGGGGTATACAAAGATTTGTGGGCCCTAAATTTTTAGAAGAATCCGGGGCTCTAGGCGACCGCCTACTTTGCCTCCCTTCAGAACCGGCTCTGCGGCATTACTTTGTGTGGTTAAACAGTTACGCGGAAACATTTCAAGAGAAAACTACCCTCTTAATGTGAATGAATTCGAAAAAAAATTTTAAAAAATCAGGGGCCCTGCTCCCTGAACCCCGTAAATTTTAAGTCCATCCTGATTCGAATTTCGGACTCCACTGCTCTCACACCAGAACATATTTAGTGAATAGTGATAAAAAAACTAACCTGTTTCATTCTTTTGGTTGAGGAAAATATAGTAGCATTTGAATTTTGAAAAAAAGAAAATTCTGTTGTGAATGAGTTTAGTGATTATAACTTTTACTATATTCTTCGTCAAATAAACGAAAACTTTGTTTTGCGTCTACACTCCACATGAAGAAATCTAGTAGCTTCCCTTTATAACGTAGGCCCACCACTCTGTCTCTATTATTACAGTTAAAAGAAAGAATAAGTGGCGCGTAAATTAAAGAAAGAAAAGTTAAAAAATCATTCCATTCATAAATTAAGCAAAAATAAGAAATAAACAAATGAAACACACACCACAAACACACAGAAACTCCATACACATTTCCTAGTAATTATGATATAGATTCCAAAAGTCCAACGGACCCAGCCTTCTCCGTCACCTTCCTCTCTCTCTCTCCGTCACCTTCCTCTCTCTCTCTCTCTCTCTCTCTCTAAATATAGATATATATATTTGTGTATGTATATAGATATTATATTTCCCTGTTTCACTTTCAGCAGGGAATTACAGGAATCAAAATTATGCTATATTTATATTCTGTTGAGCATCAAAGGGGAATATTTTAGTTGAAGAAGGTTTTTGTCGATGGGGAATTGCTTCGGATCTGAATTACCTGCTCCTGACCCAAACCCTAGTTCAACTAATCCTAGTAACTTAACCAGACCCTCAACAGCAGGTTCTTCTTTATTTTTTTTAATTGCTAATTACTTTTTCTGGGCTGCTCAAATTTTCCCGGGTTTTCTTGTTTGTGTGCAATAATTATCATTTTATTTCTATATAATTGGAATTAGGGACATCGCGTAGCTACAGCAATGGGGATGGGGTTTCAGGGGCAAGCCAATTCTCAGCAGCTTTAAGTGATGACACGTGTCAGGGTGTGGGGGGAGATATATTGGCGATTTCGAATTTGAAAATATACAGCTACTCGGATTTGAGGAGTGCAACGGGGGGTTTCAAATCGAATACGGTATTGGGGGTGGGTGGTTTTGGGACTGTGTATAAGGGATGGGTGGACGAGAAGACTCTCGCGCCTTGTAAACCCGGTACCGGAATCTTGGTTGCTATCAAGAAGCTCAACCATGAGAGTATTCAGGGTTTTGCGGAGTGGCAGGTTTTTTATTTTAACTCTCTTTTTTCCTTTTTCGTTTATTAGCCTTGGTTAACTACACTATTTCAAAAAAAAACTACATTATTTCACTTTATTTGAATGTATGGCATCCACCTGTAAATATTATGTTATCTGCCTTATCTTGCCTTTTAGATAGTTTTTTTTTGTTGGGGTCCAATAAAATAATTGAGTTTTCATTAGATTATTTAACCAAACGAGACCTTATTTGATTGCGTAATATTATCTGATTGCTCGTTTTCTGTTGGATGCTTCTTGACAGAAGATACTATCCCTAATTTTGTTAAAATATTGGGATTGTTGATTTTACGTTTTCTGCGACAAAGCAAATTTAGTTCAAGAGTTGCTCAATCTTGTGATATATGTTGAGTTGCTCCTATTGATCCAGTATCAACTAAATTCTTAACTTTGAAGCTCGTTTCGCGTCTCCTTTAGTTTGTAATGATTAAATTAAGGCCTCGTTTGGTTGCCATGATAAGATTAGCTAAGATAAGATTAAATGATCTAATGGAACCCAATATTATTATTAGACCTTAAAAAACATGCCTAGAAAGCAAGATATGCCATGATAACATAATATTTGTGAGTCGACCCAACAAGTTCTTGTGGATACCAAACATTAAATAAAGTCCCAATTATTTAGTTAATCATGACTATTCTCCCCAACCAAACGAGGCATAAGAAGATAACAATCTTATGCAGTATTTTTACTTGTCTACTAATATTTGTGAAACTATGGTTGATTTAAATGGATATCATTTTCATCGATCATCTCTTAATCAACTTTATTAAAAAAAAAAAAGAAAATGCTAGTGCTAAGTTTTTTGACAAAACCTAGTCTGATCAATTGTTGTTTCTACAAAATATATATATATATATATATATATATATATATATATATATATATATATATATATATATATATATATATATGGTATGCGGGTGTCGGTATGTTTTTAATAGATAATCTCGTTCTATGCGACTTTACGTAACTGTAGTTGATTAGGAACATTGTTATAAATTGACTTCACTGAACGTTAACTGTAATAGGTCATAGTGGTGGTCACGTTTGTATTTAATTATCTCAATTGATTTGATTTTGGTGATGATGAACGGGAATATATGTGCAGTCAGAAGTAAACTTCTTAGGAAGGCTGTCGCATCCAAACTTGGTAAAACTGTTGGGGTACTGTTGGGAAGATAAAGAGCTTTTACTCGTTTACGAGTTTATGCAAAAGGGAAGCCTCGAAAACCATCTCTTTAGAAGTAAGACCTTTAACTTTTTAGTTTGTTTGGGATAATAAAAAAGAAAAAAATAAAACCCGGAAAATTAATTAGAATTAAAACTGGGTTACACCTCGGATATGCAGGAATTGGTGCTGTTGAACCGTTGTCGTGGGATTTACGTCTCAAAATATCTATAGGGGCAGCAAGAGGCTTGGCTTTTCTGCACACTTCAGAAAAGCAAATTATTTACCGAGACTTTAAGGCTTCCAATATTCTTCTTGATGGGGTAATATTTTTTTTCTATCTTTAAAATAAAATTGATCGCAACTTCTTATAACTCGAGAAAATTTGTTCACTTAATTTTTTCTTATTTTGTTGGATTTGTAGAGTTACAATGCAAAAATATCGGATTTCGGCTTAGCGAAATTGGGGCCTTCAGGTGGGGATTCTCACGTAACAACTCGAGTTATGGGGACTTACGGTTACGCTGCGCCCGAGTACATTGCTACAGGTAACCGACTCTCTGTTTTGACTATCTACTGGTATAACTTAGTTTTAACAGTTATTTAAATTGGAATATTATTAATCCATATCTGAATATTGATTCTGTTTAGATTCTCTCCCGAATAACGTAGTAAATGAATCTAAAAAGATTCCTTTTCGTGTTGTGTGTATTGTTTATATAACAACAGGGCACTTATATGTGAAGAGTGATGTGTATGGGTTTGGTGTGGTGCTGCTTGAGATGCTGACGGGGTTGAGAGCACTTGATACGACACGGCCAAGCAATCGGCATAATTTGGTTGAATGGGTAAAACCATTTCTCTCACAAAAACGGAGATTGAAAACAATTATGGATGCTCGAATACAAGGTCAATATTCAACAAAGGCATCACTAGCGGCTGCTCAGCTTAGTCTTAGATGCTTGGAAAACGAGCAAAAGAAACGGCCTTCTATGAAAGAAGTTGTCGAAGTGTTGGAACAAATTGCTGCTTTTGAAAAACCTAAACAGTTAGCCACTAAATCAGCACCTTCTTCTGCTTCGTCGTCTCGTCACCGCTCTCAATTATCACCTAGATCTCATCCTCACCAAAAGTAATTGACCACCCTTATTTTGGCAAGCTGAAGGTGTGTGCTTTTTTTTTTTTTTAATCATTATTTAATACAATTAATATTATTTGAACATATGGTCAATTCTTTCGTGAGGAATTCTTTTGAGGTAGCTACTGAAGGTGTCTGTCTATCTTTGACATTGATTTAATGTGTTGTAATTTGTAAAATATATAATGAGGATGTATTCAGTGATTTGTTAGTCAGCATTTTCAGTATTTTTTATTTATATGGGTGTGCACGGTTCAGTTCGACTCGGTTATTGCCTAAAATCGAACTATAAAACAAATATATCAGTTTTCGAAAACCTAAAAATAGAAAAATAGAACAGCAACAACTACCAAAAACAATAAACATATAATGCGATAAATTTCCCTAGCTACTGTATATGTATGCATCAAACTCGATATCTCAATTTGCTCATGGCGATGGCCTTATTTTTGGCTCATTCATAAACCTCTTCCAGAACCAATGGCTCCTCCAGACCTGCGTCATCTCCTCGATCGGAATATTCTTTGTCTCGGGCATGAAGAAATAGCAGAACAATGTCATCACTGCTACGAAGAAAGCAAAGAAGATGAATAGACCGTACTTCATTGAGCAGAGCATTGTGAGGAAGCACTGCCCTACTATGAATGTGAAGGCCATGTTAACGGCCACCGTGACGCTCTGTGCTGCCGACCGGACCTCCAGAGGGAATATCTCGCTCGGGTACAGCCACCCCAACGGTCCCCACGACCACGCGAACCCCATTACGTACACGCATATGCACACGACCACAACCGCCGCGAACCAAAAGGGTATATCCGTCACGTTTCCTGACACCCCGAATCTCCACCCGATTAGCCCCGCTATGAGTGACTGGAAAATGAACATTTGCACGCCGCCTTCGAGGAAGAGGCTCCTCCTCCCCCACCGATCGGAACCGTAGATTGACACCCCGGTGGCAAACATGTTGACAACTCCGGTGATCACTGACGAGATAAGTGAGGCGTCCGACCCGAAACCGAGGCTCTGGAAGAGCACTGGAGCGTAGAACATGATGACGTTGATTCCGGTGAACTGCTGGAAGAAAGGGATGAGAATGGACATGTCAAGTTGGGGTCTGTAGCACTTTGTTCCAAAAAGATTCCTCCACGGACTCTCCACGAGGTCCGCTTCGTTCTTGGCAGCCAGCATGTCGTTGAATTCGGCGTCCACGTTATCAACGCCACGTATGCGCTTCAGAAGGGCTTTGGCTTCAATCTCCCTCCCTCTTTGGACCATGGAGTTGGGTGTGTCGGAGAGGAAGAAGGAAGCGATGAGAATTATCACGGCGGGGACACCGGCAAGGCCCAAGCTCAGGCGCCACCCCCAGCCGCCGCTTATCTTGGCCGTCCCGAAGTTGATCAAATTGGCGCAAAGTATCCCAATTGTGATCATCAACTGGAAACAAATGTTGAACCTTCCACGGTAGTTGTACGGAGACATCTCGGAAAGATACAAAGGCACCGACTGCACGTCAATTCAAGAAATTAATTGGGTTGAGTAAATTAAATATCATGCATAACCATATTTAAAAACAAAGAAAAAAAAATACAAAAATAAATAAAATACCTGGTTAGCAAAGCCAATGCCGATCCCAAGTAGAATACGGCCCAAGATGAGCATGGATAGGTGGACAGCACCGGCGTTGAGGGCGGCGCCGAACAAGAAGATAAAACCGGCCATCATCATGGATATACGACGGCCGAATTTCTTGGTGACCTCCCCCGCGGCTAAGGAGGCGAAGAGGGCAGCCAAGTACAGGGAGGATGTGAACAATTGGAGTGTGGGGCTGTTAAACTTGCAGTACTGGTTGGTCGACGTGATCGATTGTTGCCTCTCGTAAACGTCAGGGAAGAATTTTTCCAAGAAAGGCGCCATAGAAGTCACCCCACCTATTCAAGAATGTCAAAATAATTCATAAGAAGAATTTCATAAAGATAGATAGATAGTAATTCATAAGTACGAGGTATATATATATACGTACCAGATATACCAAGATCGTAGCCAAAAATCAAACCACCGGCGGCTCCGGCCAATACAGTTAGGAGAACATAGGGTGTCAGTTTGCCGGGGTACGAAGGTGGAGGACTTCCTCCGTCAAAGGAAACACCACCCATGGATACTAATTAAAACTAGATCAAGAGAGAGAGAGAAGAGTTATATGATCGAGAGCTAGAGAGAAATCAAGTCAAATTAATTAAGCAATCAAAATTAATAACTGGGAAGTATGTACAGCTGTATATATAGGAAGAGAAATCGAGTAGTTGTAATTGGTTTAGGATAGGAGATATATACATATATTATTATGTTATTCTATTACAAATCCATTAATAATACTCTTTATGGATTTAGGATAGGAGTCTTGAGCTGTTTGAAGTTTGAACAACCAAACCATGCATAAACACAAAAGTTATATATTTCTTGTGCGGTAGAGTTGCATAGCAGCCATGATTCTATTTTTATACTAATGAATTATTCAAATTTTTTTTTTTAAATATTTTAATTACTAATCTTAATTTAAATAAATCATTATGAATTAATTAAACCATATTACTAATTCATATTTTAGTTCTTGTTAAAATATGTTTACGTTTTTCAAAATTATACTAATAGGCGCGGGCTCGTAAAACCGCCTATTCTAGCAAAACACACCATCGTCCGTTCACCCAACGGTTATTGATTTGAATGAATTAAATTGGTGGATCTCCTCCAGTAATATTACTGTCTTGCCTTGCAGGCCAAGACAATATTATTAATGAAAATAATATTTTTTTTAGAAGAAAATAAAGGTTTAAAAAAAAGTCAATGTTGGAGAACGGCGGTCAACAACGGTTGAGTCGCCGGGAAAAAAATTAAGAAAAAAAAATTATTTTCAAAATAAAAAATCAAAAAAAATTTACCGCCGAAGTCTGACGGTGTCCATTCGTGGCGGTCAAAATTAGGGTCAAAATTGGTTGATTGGTAAAATTGGGTGTAAATCATGAAATTAAAGTTGAATTAGGGTTTCTAATAGTTGTGGGTAATTTTGGTATATATAAAAGAGTTTTCCTTATTTGCAAATAAGTTTGAATGAGATGAATTTATTTGCAAGACAAAAACGTTGGATGTCCCTTTTTTAATTAAATGATCTTCTTCTCATCGCCATATTTGTCATTTACCCTTTAAATAAATCATTATGAATTTAACTAGAATACTAATTCATATTTTAGTTCTTGTAAATTATGTTTACGGTTTTTTAAATTAGGGTAAATGACAAATAGACCCATAACACATGTATTTAATCAAAAAAGGACTTCTAGTGTTTTTGTCTTACAAAAACACCCACTACTTACAAGTTTATTAAAATTCAAGGCAAGGGTATTTTTTTCGGACATAACCCTGTTGTCAACTGAAAATTAAAAAGCCCTACGCTCGTTTTTCATGTTTTTTGCGCGATTCTTCTCTCTTCTCTCGAGAATTCCTCTATATACTTGTGCATCTGGGAACTAAGCTACGTCTACCTGTTTTACATCGGATCTCGCCGTTTTATCCGGCCGTCCTCTCCTGCTTTCACTATCAATCATATTATGGATGGTATTTTAGTCAAAAGACATGGGTAGGGGTTTATTTGCAAGACTGTTTTTTGTCTGGACCTATGTGCATTTAAGTCTCTTGTCATGGGCCTCTTTGTAATTCGCCCAAAAATCTAATAATATATAGGAGGTAAAAATCTAAAATAATATTTAGGAGATACAAATCTGATAAAAATCTAAAATAATAAAAATAATTACAAATATGGCATTAGGGTTTTTTAAGTTGCCATAACCTTTCTTTCTTTTATATAGACTAGCATTTTTCCCCGTGCGATTCACGAAATATTATTTAAATAGTGAAAAAAAATCAATTTAATACATAATAAGAAAATATAGTACACTACTATAGTAAAATTTAATAATGTAGTATTATTCATATTTTATATAACATTACTTTTTTTAAATCTTACATATTAAGATTTGTAATCCAAATAAATAGACTAAAATTTAACAAAACGAATTTCCAACTTGATCTCTTAAGATTTGAGATATGTTGATGAAAAACCGGAGATTAATAATTGTTGAAAATTATAGTTAAAAAATTAGTACAGAAAAATATTAAAAATAAATAATTACATAAGTAGCAATAATGTAGGATTCTTCGCGGGTTAGTTTTAATTTCGATAATTGTTAAAAGTTATAGTTAGAAATTAATAGAGAAAAAATATTAAAAATAAATAATTACCAAAATACCATTGGGTTTTTTTGGGTTGCCCAGCGTTTAAGGAGATTATTAATTGTTGAAATTATAGTTAAAGAATTAGTACAGAAAAATATTAAAATAAATAATTATATAAGTAGCAATAAGGTAGGATTCTTCGCGGGGTTAGTTTTAATTTTGATCATTATTAAAAATTATAGTTAGAAATTAATAGAGAAAAAATATTAAAAATAAATAATTACAGAAATATCATTAGATTTTTTAGGGTTGCCCAGCATTTCTTTCTTTTATATATAAGATATGCAAAAATCGAACCACTATATGAACTATGAACAAAGAAAAATTGTGTAGAAGGAGCCGTCGGATATTTAGGAGATAAAATCTAAAATAATATTTAGGAGATAAAATACAGATAAAAATTTAGGGTAAATGGCAAATATGAGCATGATAAGGACACTTTAATTAAAAAAAGGACATCCAACTTTTTTAACTTCCAAATAATTGCAGATCATTCAAACTTAATTTGCAAATAAGCAAAACCCTTTTATATATATATATACCAAAATTACCCTCAATTCATCAAAACCCTAATTCAACTCCAATTACATGTTTTACACTCCAATTTAGCCGAATTTCACCAATTAACCAATTTTGACCCTTATTCTGATTTTGACCAGCCACCGTCGGAGACCAGAGGCCAACCGCCGTTGGCTTTTTTTTTTATTTTGAAAACTTGTTTTTTTTTCTGAAATTTTTTTGGCAGGTCAACCGCCTGTAACCGGCGTTGACTTTTGTTTTTTTAGTTTTTTGTTAATTTTTTTTGAAATCTTTATTTTTTCTGATTTTTTCTTTTGGCGTCGTCGACCGCCGTCGTCTTTTTTTTTATTTAATTTCTTTTTACAATTTTGTTTTTCTTAAAAAAATTATTTTAATTAATATTACTGTC